TACTACCTAGCATTCCAGGGATTCCATGCTTGCCTTCATGCACTGTGTACAATTAGTGGATATTGTTGATAGTTGGTTTACGCAAATATCGTTGCCTATAAACCAAACAGATCGCTTTGTAGAACTTGTACACACACTCCCGCACGGTACACTCTGACATTCTAAAATACTCGTCCCATTTGTCTGTGTCTATGTCGTATGCTAGCTGACGAATTGCAGCCGTGCATTTTTTAATGGGAGAGAAACCTTTTCTGCCTTGCATCCATTTTCCATTGGAAATATGGAAAGCGGCCTTCCAAATCGCCAACAATACGTAAGAATAGTTCCTTACTCATCCAGAACCGACGTCGAAACTTTACAGCGTAGATGGCATCATCTGCAAAATAATTTTCTATAAGGCGATCGTGTTCGGCTTCGTGGTTTCTACGCAACAGCGACTTTCTTGGGTAAGATCGTGCACGTGATGTTTCGCCTAGTCGGTTTTGATAGTATGCAACCGTTTTTGCCATGACGGAACCGATAAACTTAGCCTCCTCTACAACCGTCGAATCAGATGATGAAGATGATAACATTTTGAATAATATTTTTTGGAGAGAAATATAGGTTATGGGTTAAAAAAAGATAGAATGTTGTAGTATTTATAGGTTAAGAAAAGGGAAAGAATATATATATATATATATATATATATATATATATATATATATATATATATATATATATATATATATATATATATCGTCGTTTGGAATCAAAAAAAGAAAAAAAATAAACAGCAAATCATGTGAAGAGACAGAGTGTGTGACTCCCTCCCCCCACCTCTTTCCCACGATTCCTTTCCCACGCCCCCGGTGCGGTGCTTCTTCGTGCATGATCATTTCCCGCGACTTCCCCGCTCACCACTCTGTCCGGCCTTAGGGTTAGGGTTTCTTGAGTCGCATGCGTCCAACAGATAGGGAGGGCATCGGGTTTATTATGCCAGCTTATTCTTAAAACTTGCCTCATAGTTACATATTCTATCCCTCCCTCCCAATTATTTTCGATTCAGCTCCATAATGTTACCATATAGCCCTTCCATGACAAATTCTTTTCAACTTAGGTACATAATTTACCATTTAGCCCTCTGCATTCCAAAATCCTTTCATAATAAGTCCAATACTTACTAAACACCCCCTGTCCTCTAAAAATCATTAAAAATAAGTCCTAAAATAACGCTTTAACTCCAAATAATTCAAATTATAACATTCGGCTCCCCAAAACCAACACCCCACTAAATAATATGGATTCAGGGCAACTATTCGTTCATCAATTTTATCTATTTATTTATTTAATAAACAGGATGTTACATGTTCGTCAAAAATAACTTTAACATGTGCACATTTTTTCGAGATTTTTTTAAATTTATTTATTTATTTATTTATTTTTGTGAAGGCACTTCTATTTTCTATATGACTGACTTAATACCTTAAGTCCTTTTTTCCTAAAAAAATTCACACGAAAAAGTTTGCAGGAAAATATAAGTTCACAAAACATCTTGGCCTTATATATATATATATATATATATATATATATATATATATATATATATATATATATATATATATATATATATATATATATATGTTCAAATGAGAACCCAAAAATGTTAAGAATCCTAAGAACCATTTTTTTTAAATGTTTTCATAAGGGTATTTTGGACAAATCCAATGTTTATATTGTATTAATCAAAATTTTCAATTCCCTATTTTACAAACTACTTGTCACTTGTCATTGGACCGTCGTCGGACCGCCACCGGAATAACCTTAAATTTAGTGGTATTTTTCTAGTTGTATTCACACCTTAATAAAATAAACATTGTAGTTCTCATTTCTTTGGTAATACTTTTTATTTTTCTAGCTAAAATATACAAAATTTTATTAAAAAAAAATAGAATTATGTCTTGAAAAAAATCAATTTTCTTTGTTCAAAATTGTAGATTTATTTAAAAATATATATCGTGTATAAGAAATATTCACAATTTAAAATATAATATTCACAGTTTAATAAAAGTGATAATTCACTAATACATTAATATTTTAATGCATACATTCATTCATATTTTAACACAAAATGTATATAAAATATATAACTTAAATATTCAACTTAATACAATCCATTTTTAGTTTCACACATAAATTTACAACATAACATTATACAATCCATTATACACTAATTCACATATTTAAAGACATAAACTTAGACTCTCTCACCATGTGACCAACTAACACACGTCACCACCAACCACCCATGCTAACGTCGTAATCACCAATGCTTTCAAACCAAAACTATATATAAAATAATTGATTGACAAGTTAAATACCATATTCATAATTTAATAGAAAATTAGTTCACGTATTCAAAATTCAATACAAAATAATTACAAGAAACTAATACATATTTACATATTTATACACCAAAAAATACGTATTTTAACAAGAAATTAATACAAATATCCATATATCAATCGTTTATTAATACAAAATTCACTAAAAATTCACAACTTAATACAGTTAATTCAAATTTTAATGTAGTCAAATCATAGTTTAAAGACAAAAATCGCAATTTACTACACAAAATTCATAGCTTAACATAGTCAATTCACAGTTTAAACAAAAAATTCATAGATTAATGTAGTTAATTCAAAGTTTAAAGCACAAAAACCACAACTTAATACACACAATTTTTATCTTAATACAATAAATCAACAGTTTAATACACAAAAATTATAAATTCACAACCATATTATCTACTTAAAATTCTTAATACTGTCAATTCACTGTTTAATATACAAAATCCACAGTTTAATACAATAAATTCACAGTTTAATACACAAATTTTGCAGTTTAATGTAACCAACTCATAATTTAAACAGAAAACTCACAGCTTAAATCAGTCAATTTACAGTTTAAAACATAACTATCACAATTTAATAAATAAAACTCACAACTTAATACAATGACGAATTCAAAATTATAACTCACATGTATCTACTTAAATGATGTGACAAAACAAAAATGTTAATTTTTTTTGCTGGTTCACACACATATAATATTAATTTTATTAAGCAAAGATAAGACATGATATAAATACAAGTAATGTCTTATACTGGAAGTGTTTTTATAACTTAGGTGTTGTTTGTTTTTCCGAAGTGAAACTGTCTGAAGTCTGCGGACCACCTCTGCGGCCCTCTGCAGCAGAAGAGGTGGACCAAAGTGCTGCAGACTGTAATGAGAAACATGTTTGTTTTTTTAACATCTGCAGACTGCTGCAGATATTAAAAAAAATTAAAATAAAGTAATTTAATAAACCGAAGATAGTTTTTTAATACCAAAAATTTAATAATAGTAGTTTTAAAACATTGAAATAAAATTCAAACATCCAAATTAGTCTTATAATAACATTTTTAAATAAAATTCATAGAACCAAACTTTAATAATTTTCATTCCATATTTTGCATCAATTGCTCGGCAATTTCATCCCGTAACTGGGTCATATATTCACGTTCCGCTGCAGTACCATGTGTTGGAATCTCATCTTCATCGTTATCAACGACTGCATTGTTATTCCGAACCGAGAAATTTGGTTCATCATATCGTGCAAAAAACTCATCACGTAGTCCCTCTCTTCTTATAAAATTATGAAGCGCAAAACATGTTAGGGTTATGTTTCGTTGTGTAACCAATGAGAATGGTGCCATTCTCTTCAATATAGGGAATCGTGCTTTCAAGACACCAAAAGCCCGCTTAATGACATTCCGAAGTTTTGCATGTGCATGGTTAAATTTTTCTTTATTCGTTAATGCACGTCTTCGACGGAAATCTCCAAGCCAATACCTTACATTACGGTACGGTGCCATAAAACCTCGAATGTTTGCATAGGCGGCATCACAAAGATAATATTTATCTGTAAAAAAGCAAAAAAAAAAAAGTCATTTAATTTTCAAGCTAAGATAAAACTATTTAAATAACCATAAATTTACCTGGGGGTGGGAGCGGGAATGGTGCATGTGGATTTGCTAATGCTTCTGATAAAATTCTAGAAGCGTGTGCTATCCCTTCCCAACCGGCCACAACAAACGTAAACATCATGTTGAAGTCACATATTGCCAATACGTTTTGGTAGCAATCGCCTTTTCCCCTACTTCTATATAAATCCCGTTTGTTTGCAGGGACAACAGCATGTATCAAAGTGCCATCAAGTGCACCAACTGCTCCCTTGAACACCCGTCGTAGCCTCCTATTATGTCCCGGAATGTTTGGATTCGGATTAAAAGAAGTTGGCACTATAATGTCATGTGCGAAAAGCAACATTTTGTCCAACACTTCATGAAAAAACTTATGAATTGTTTGCTTTGAGTGTTGAAATCTCCGCTTGATAATCACATAACGTTGGTTATGACCGATCATTATAAAAAACATAGCCATCTTCTCCTCAACCGACACATGTTTGCTATCCTTTAACGCGTAGTGTACTCTAAAATGAGCACATAGCCGAACAAATGATTCACGGGACATACGTATCACTTCAAGACATTGTAGAGGATTACGGTGAAGTAACTCTAACGTAAATTCATGTCCCGTCATTTCTGAATCGTTGTCCCGCACTCGTTTGACACCTCTCTTCCAAAAGTAGCGGACGTACAAGTACATAAGAATTATGAGTAATATCTTTTTGTCGTGATCCATTACAAACCTATTAATCAACAAAACATAACATAACATAAGATAAAAACATAACATAAATCTCAAGTACAAAAAAATATAAAATAAATTTCAAGTGCCAAAAAACATAACATAAATTTCAAGTACCAAAAAACATAACATAAATTTCAAGTACCAAATAACATAACATAAATCTCAAGTACCAAATACTAAAAATAACATTCAAGTAGAAATAACCAAAAAACATAACCATATAGTTCCAAAACATGCAATTAAAACCTAAACAACTCAAACATATAAAGTTAACGAACGATCTTTCCATCCTTTAAAACTCCCAAACTTGTAGCTGTCATCTCGATCCATCCTCTTAATATTCGTGGATCATTAGGCAAATTTACCCACATCTCTCTCATATTCATGGTCCCTCCAAAAATGTGATACGCAGCAAATCGTAGAGGGTATATTGGGTCTAACTCGAGCAACTCAAGCTTCTCTAAACATTGGGGAATTGTTGGCCCTTGAGTCAAATGACGTAGAGCTTTTTGCATCTCCAATGCTAAATCATCAGCAGTAATAGAAGCTTTAGGCGAGGCAGAAGAAGGTGGATCAGGTGAGGCACTAGGAGCTCGAGGTCTAAGAGTTGAGGGTTTGGCCCTTTTGTTGGGGTTACCAGAAGGTGAAGCAGCAGAAGGTGAAGGCTGAGTAAAATGCTCACTAGTATGATTGGAAAAGAAATCATCCCCCATCTATGTTAATAGAAGGGGCGTCCATAAGATGTAGTGGTGCGACATGGAAAGAAGATGATCCATGTCCCGATGGTGTTTGGGATGTGGCATAACGGAGATTACCAGATGCATTGTTTCCATCAAAGAGTTCTGCACAAAGCTCTGGAAACAATAATGGGACGGTTTTCAAAGAAGCGGCTTTCGGATGTCCCTAAACGCAATCAATGCAACAAAAGTAATATAAGAATTGGCAACTATATAAACAAAATACATATAAATATGTGTGCGTGTATATATACCTTTTTAAAGTCCTCCCACTCCTCATTTGTTAAATTAAAAGTATTTGTTTGGGGATTGTAAAGGTTTCCAGTTTTATTTTTTAACTATAACCATCCTGTGTATTTGGCTTTAAGGTTATCATAGGCGTTTTTTAATTGTCGATGACTCAAATCCACGCCATACTTTTCCTTAATGGTTGTTCCTAACTTGTACCATGATTGTTTGTGCAAACTCAAACCTTTTCTACCCACGGTTTGTACTTCTTCAATACAAGTGAGCAATAAGCATTTTGTTTGCTCATTGGTCCATGTATGTTTATCTCCCATCGCTAATAACAAAAAAATATAGAATACATACTTTAGCAAAAAAGATTAATCATATTTCAACATAATCAACAAATACGTTTAGCATATTCAACAATTTAAGCACAAACTTGCAAAGAAGCATAAACTTGATCTCCATTCAAGAAATACAAGTGATAACAATTCAACAAATAAGTTTAAAAAAACCATTTGAGCTAATGATTTCAGCATATAAACTAGTATACGAGTTTATGATTTCAGCATATAAGTATATGATTTCAGCAAGGATTATGATTTCACCCAACATTCATAACAATTCAACACAAAAATTCATGAACCTAAACATAAATCATGGCTCTAATTAAAGAACAAAACACAAACTCCTAGAATTATAACAAAGCACTAAAGCAGAATTTTAACTCAATTTATGCTTGCAATATTTCTAACTTCTAGAATTATAACAAAACACAAACTTCTCTCTATGGTGGATCTGTTAAAAAAAAGCCAATTATGCCCTTATGAAACCATTAAAATCATGAGATTATCATCTTATTTCACAGCTTCTTTCTTCAATCTTATTTCACATCTTCAATTTTATTTCACACTTTCAAAGTCAATTAAGAAATCTGGAAAAAAAAAAAAAAAAAAACAAACCTGTGTGATGTGATGTTGAAGACGAAGGCAGATGGAGGATGGGGCAGTGAAATCGGTGACCACCAGCAGCAGTAGGCGGTGAGCAGCAGCAGTGAGCGGCGAGCAGCAGCAGCGACCGGTGAGCAGCAGCGAGCGGTGACCGGCAGCGATTTCTTCCGGTCTTCAACAGATTCGACGCCAAGAGAGAACGAAGGAGTTGCGGCTATGCTTTTGTCTGTGTCTTTTTTTGTTATTAGGTTTAGAAGTGCTGAGAAGAGGCAAGCCCAATGATGCGTGGGGAAGAGGACGGGAAGAGGTTTTTGAGCCCGAAGCCTTTTAAAAATCAAACTGCTGCGAATTTAAAAGTGATGCGCGTGTGCTGCGCCGCGCAGCACTAAGCGGTTAGAAGAGGATTTTTTAAAAAAACAAACACAACCTTAAAAAAAAACAAAAAAAAAAACAGCTATTTGTGATTTTTAATATAAAGCATTGATACTTTAACCAATCAATTCACAAAAAAAAAATTTACATTATATATAAAAGTTAAATTTAATAAACCAGATAGATTTACCGTACACTAAATAAATTATCAAATAAATTTACACTATATTATATAAAATGATGGAAGAAAAAAAAAACAAATGAAATGTTTACTAATTTCTTAAAGGGAAAACTACAATAAAGCCCCTACATATTGACTTCATAATCGATTTAATCATTATATTTTTTTTTTATTTAATTAAGTCCTAAATACCGGTAATCGTATTCAATTTAACCCTTTGACCCGGTCAACAGGTCATCCAACTTTCAAAAATTACATTTTTGGCTCAGATTTTAAAATTTATTACAAATTTGGTCCAAAATTTACAATTTTGGCCCAGATTTTAAATTTTTTTATAAATTTGGTCCAAAATTTACCTTTTTTGCCCAAATTTTAGAATTTTATTATGAATTCATCCTAACTTTAGTTTTTTTTACAACTTCTTTTCTCAAAATCTGTTTCTAATATGTTTTTTCTTTATAAACTCATATTTATACCAAAAAAAAACATATTTTCACATAAAAATCTTATTTTTTCTATATAAAAACGTTTTTTAAAAAGTTTTTTGTATATAAAATATCTAGTTATAAAAATAGGTTTGGATTATTTGTGTGATATCTCTTAAAAAATCAATTAAGAAACTAAAAGTAACCCTAAATTATAAAAACAGGTTTGGATTATTTGTTCTTTAATCACATTTATATGAAAGTTTAAACTAGTTACATTATACATGAAAGTTTAAAATATATATAATATAATAATATTATATTTTATTCGTAAGATTTTTTTAAGAAAAAAGTTAAAATCATAATTTTGATATATTTTTTATAACTTTTTAATAAATATATTATCTAAATAAAACATATTCATTCATAGCACGTGTCCGATCTATGTTGTGATTTTTTATTGCCAATCAACCTCTTCATACTTGGATTATTTATAATCTTGTATTTTCTTTATTTTTTTAATGTCTATTATATGAAATACCGGTTGCAATTTATTATCGATAAACATGTTTTTATGAAAGTGAGAAATGACCAAAAATACAATAACAACATAAATATATAAAATATTACAACCATCAATAACATAATAGAATACTTTAACTAAAGTTTTAAAGAATTTACACATGAATTTGGTTTAAAAAAAATACTCAAAGACCTAAAACATGCTTAAGTTGAGCTTCACAAGGAAAGTATCACAACCTACTCAAAAACATGATGTCGAATTTTTTAATAAAATGGTTTTTTTTTCTATGAACTACAATTAAGAACTGATATTATTTTTCCTGTAAATGTGATTAAAGAACAAATAAATAATATTAAAATGAGTGTAACTAGTTTTTGACAAACTATAATTTAAAGTTACTTTTAATTTTTTAATTGATTTTTTAAGAGAAATCACATAAATAATCCAAATCTATTTTTATAAGTAGATATTTAATATACAAAAACTTTTTAAAAAGAGTTTTTATGTAGGAAAAATAATATTTTTATGTGAAAGTATGTTTTTTTGTATAAATATAAGTTTATAAAGAAAAAGCATATTAGAAACAAATTTTTGAGAAAAAACGTTGTAAAAAAAACTAAAATGAGGATGAATTCATGATAAAATTCTAAAATTTGGACAAAAAGGGTAAATGTTGGATCAAATTGGTAAAAAAAACTTAAAATCTGGGCCAAAAGTGTAAATTTTGGACCAAATTTGTAATAAATTTAGAAATCTAGGCCAAAAATATAATTTTTAAAAGTTGGATGACCTGTTGACCGGGTCAAAGGGTTAAATTGAATACGATTACCGGTATTTGGGACTTAATTGAATAAAAAATATATATAAGGACTAAATCGATTATGAGGCCAATATGTAGGGACTTTATTGCAGTTTTCCCTTTCTTAAAAATAAAAGTTTGGTACTTAAAATTGAAAAGGTGAATTGCAATCTCAGTTAGTCTAAGGGGTATGGTCACACCCAACCTACCGAAAAAAATGATATTACCTTATCGTCATGTCAGCTCCACTACAAAGCTACTAACCATTGGAAATGGTTACCACTCCCATCATTTTTTTTGTGACAATATTAGAATAAATTTAAAAAATAATTCAAATAAAACACACATTAAAAACTTTAAATTAAAACGCATTCCATTAATTTTAAAACACACAAATTTAAATCCTAAATTACTTAAAAAAACAAAAAAAAAAAAAAAACAACATAACAACTAAAACATAAATATTAGAACCTAATCGTCATATTTAGCAGGGACACATTGTTGGATTTTCAGAAATGTCGCAAGATTTTCGGGGTCGAGATCCGGTTGAGACTTCGTGTTTATGATTTAAAGATTGGCAAGAGCAATTTTTTGGCGACGAGCTTCCTCCGTTGATTGATATTTTTTTTCTAGAAAACTTAAAGTTTTATCTATGGACTCCACAAGCTCTCCGTCGCTAGTTGTGGTTGCTTTCCCGCTTGAAGACGCTGCCCATTTTGCTTTGTCCCTTCCCGGTGGTCGACAGAGTTGCACTTCAAGTGGACCCTCTCCCTCGGCAACATCGACATTATCATTGAGGTCCAACCCAAAACCCGCGTTTGAATCAGAAGTCCTTGGTCTTTTGTTGGAGCCAGTAGTCGAGTCCGAATGTGATGTCTCTAGATTAAGGACCCATTTTGGACCTTGACGGCAGACTTCCCACGCCTTTTGGTGACCAAATGGTTTACTGGTGTTGGTCACTTTGAACTGGTAGCACGTGGTTGATAAAATGTTGAAATATTTGGAGCCACTTCTATGCATATTTATTAGATTTTCAAATATTCCATTAAACTTTGTGCAAATCGTGCGAACATTATGCCATTTTCTGTTGACTACGTCGTACGACCGATCCGTTTTCCTTCCAGGTAGTGTGTGAAAGTGGTCCAAAACACGATTCCAGAAACTTCTCCAGATTGCGTGTTGCCTCTTCTCGAGTCACAAGATATGAAAATCCAAGCTTTTACTAAAGCTTATTCCTCTTCTTCATTCCAAGTCGTTGCTTTCTTTTTCCCTTTTTCCTTTTGGTTGCCTTCTTCGAGATGGTTGTGGTGTTTTTTGGACCAGTTTGTCGTCGTTGTCGAGGTTAACGGTTTGGGATTGAATAATGGGACTTGAGATGATTGTATTTTGAATTGGGGAGAAGTTTGTTGTTGAAAACCTTGGAATTGGGGAATAAATTGAGCTTCAATGAATTGTTGTTATAGTCATTGTTGTTGGAAGAATTGTGGGTTGTATGGAA